AAAATAGCTTATATGAAATTGACTGTGGTATGAAGGGATATATTATTTATCTGAATATGGCTCTTAACGTACTTCAATCGACTGACCTAAATTATATGTGTCGGACCAAGTTGACACACCTCATTAGCACAAGATGAATACCATATTCATAGAAGTAGTTACTTCAGTGATCGTAAGATATAAAAGGATTATTTCATATAAAGATGTGATACAGTAAGAAAGAATTAGTTAGTAGAAAAAAAGATATGAAGCAATTTTAATCTTACCGTTCAAGGGCAGACAAAGAGTGTATACACCTACGTCATTGTGATCGATTCTGAGCCCTGTCATCCTGAGTCTCCAACCATTGGCTATGATAGTCGCGCGAACCTTAACCAAGTAGTCTACATCTACCAACATGGCTAAAACCAGAAGGTATTGATTTTAATGACTGATGCCACATTTTAGTTTGGCCACCCCTAACTGTCTTCCAATCATCCCCAACACTAGTCAGCAGTGCGCATCTTGGTAATCGGTGTTCAGGCATACGCAACACGTGACCTAGCCCTCTCAGTCGATAAAGATCCACAACCTCATCAACTGATTTACCATCATTCCATAATACCCTGCGTCTAACCTCACTATTATTTACCTGCTGATCCCAACAGATGCGAGCAATATTTCTAAGACATCTGTGGTCAAATACTAGTAGCTTACGAGTATCTCCTACTCTTAATGGCCATGTTTCGCTGCCGTAAATTAAAACTGAACGGACTGCCGCGCAGTATACTCGTCCTTTTATTGATAGACGGATATCTCGCCTTCGATATATGTGACCGTTACTGCTACCTTGACGTAGTGGTTGGTCTTGTTTATCGTGATTAACCAATCAGGCTATACTGTCTGGAACAATCGTTCCTCAAGGTATCAACATGCCAGATAGGTAGGTCAAAGAGCGGTAAGACTAAAAGCAGCAAACCCAAGGTCTGGGGGCGAAACGGTACTGCTAACTGTACAGGGGTGTGACGGCGGTAAGGTGTTTTCTTCACACAACCAGCATAACAGCGATGTTGCCTTTACACAAAGAAGATTGGAGTTAGAAAAGGTTGACCCCAAAAATGCACGCCGCCTTATCCCACGGACTTCCCTCCGGTAGTAAGATCCCAATAAGTATGGAGCTAACACGGAAAGTGCTAAAAGGTCGTGTGTGACTGACCTCAAGCAGTTGTCCCGTGTGCACTGCGGTCACTCGCTCAGGTCACTAAGACCACCTCTAACCCAGTTTTCTTTTCAGGTACCTCTAGAAGAATCCTTCCACGGTGTGGGCAACCAGGAAGTAGTAACCGCCCTCATGCCTCTAACGGCACTCAAGATCACTGTATTCATATTCAATAATATCACGTACTTACTAGTTATCCCTTTGAGAAAAATTCGTGTAGAATCAAATATCAAGACCAATAAACACGTAGATTGGTAACTGGAATTATATGCTTCAGTGCATAACACGGGATAGTCTCTTCAGTACGCTCAACAGGATGTAAAACCTGTCTAATTATTCAATGACATGGCTCATAATTGTTTGCAATAGTACAAGTGAATCTATTCTTTGTCTTTCCCCAGGTTCTAAGCTTCATAACTTCTCACGATGCTTTTATTTCATTAATTTATATCTTCTCAAGTCGTATCTTCGATGCCTAAACCTTTACAAACGAGACTACTGCTATCCTCTTCTTCCCTGCTTTTTTTTAGTCAAAGTAAGCAGTGTAGTTGTCGCATGGAAATTTTATTGATCAAAATACAAAAGATATTCAACATGATCAGTTATATGTCAATTACAGTGATTACAGTTAAGTAACTGAGTAGTTTTTAACTGAAAAAAATTATAGTAAAAATGGATTAAAGGTCATGAATAATATTCGGACTGAATAAATTAATGTAACAAAAAGTCATCTCCAATCGATATTGGTCTCCTTCCTCGTAGGTTGTATTCATTGCGCAACCCTCTCTAGTTCACTTGAAACTGAATATTCCGCCGTCGACGTCGGTTCGGCCATCTTTTGGAATGTAGTTCTACTTGTTTTGGAGGTACCGCCTGTTTTTCTTCTAGTATGTCGTTCAGGGGTTGTAGTGCTCTATAAACGTATATTAATATTTACAACGGTGTTGCTATCGCATGTCGGATGATATGCGTCTTCGTTACTGATTGCTATTTCGTTATGTTTTCCTACCACTGCGTCATACAATACCTGTCACAACCCTTGTTTAACACGCATCGGTCTATGATCTCGGAAAAACACACGATTTCGAATGTTAAAGCTTTTAGTGGGACCATTTTTCTACTAGTAATCATTCTCGGTAACATCAGGTGTCGAGTTGTTCTCAGTCTGCGACACACGAAGATTTCCGATAGCGATTCCTATTTTAGTAATTCACCACTTGATATAGTTTTGTGCATTAACAAAAAGATTGTGCAATATATCAGTGGGCAGTGAGTGGAGATCAATGTGCATTCAATTGATCCAGTCCCGTACAAAAATTATCAAAACATTCTTACATTGGTCCTAATCTGAACACTACTCAAGGTGAAACGAAGTATTTGATATTTTATATTATTAAGTCAGTTTTACTTGGTTAAAAACAAAAAAAAACAAGATTTGCAATAAAATCTAAGATCATGTGAAACAAGCTAAAACTCCCACCTTCTCACGAATGTCGCCACAGAAGGATTCCGCATCATTTTGTGAAGGAGTTAATACGATGCCCAAAGATTAGGTCCAGCAGTTAAGTCCTAACTGATTGGAGAATGAGTGACCCATAAGCTAATTTCCTCTAATTCTCTATGACATTTTGTCATGCTTATTTTGTATATAAGCGTGTCATTTTATGATACAAAACCCATATCATCTAGCTTGTAGTCTTGTTTGTGATTTCTAATCGTTCGAGGGCTTAGGTCAGTAGTACGGTTTTATGGTCAACCCTCACTCAGCTTCATCATATCATCGCGTTCATTTATTGATTGACATTCTATATGTCAATTTTAACAGACGGAAATTCCGTATTACCAGATCATCAAGAACTTCCACAATAACAGCATAGGCTATTTTGGTAGGAAAATCGCCATTATAGTTTGTTAATTTATCTTGCAACTTATCTCGGGGCTGCAATTGGTATGGCTTCAAGGTGTTTCGTATACCGGAAAGGAACTGGTCAACTCAATTCCGTCCTGCTTTATGGCAGTGAAACATGGCCAGTAAGAGTAGAGGATACTCGTAGGTTACTAGTATTTGATCATAAGTGTCTTCGAAACATTGCTCGTATATCCTGGGGCCATCGCGTAAATAACGTAGTTGTTAGGAAACGGGTACAAGGTAAGAATGGCAAATCAATTGATGAAGTAGTGAAACTTCGTCTGTTGAGATGGCTGGGACACGTGTTACGTATGCTCAACGACCGACTGCCTCGACGTGCGATGTTCAGTGGTATAGGGGTAGGTTGGAAAAAAGCTAGGGGCGGCCAGACCAAAACATGGCACAAGTCCATGAAGTCGCTGACAAGTGGACTGAGTCATGTCGGTAGGTGTAGACTACCTGGTTGGGGATCGCGAGATGATAGCAACCGATGGTTAGACACCCTGAATGACATGGCTCAAAATCGTTTGCAATGGCGCAGGTGCATACACTCTTTGTGTTCTCCGAAATTTTGATCTCCTGAATCCTCATTGTCTCTTTTTTCTCTTTCCAAATTTGTTTCACTGTATTATACTCTTTAAATAACAACTTCAAACCCTAATCTTTCCGATTACTTCTTATACTCTTACCACCTCTATCACTACGGGGTTTGAATCGACAACTGCATCTCTGTGTTAATGTAGTGTGGCAACTTGGATTGATGTACGTACGTACGTACATACGGAGTTCTACGTTGTTACCGACTTAGAATACGCAGATGACATAGTCCTGTTTGGTGAAGACGCTGATAAAATGCAGAGTCTTTTGGTAGCACTGAGTAACAATGCCAGGACGTTTGGAATGGGCTTCTCTCCCTCTAAATACAAGTTGTTGCTTCAGGACTGGCCTGCTTCAACACCTGAACTAAGGATAGGGAGTGAAGTAGTCGAACGCGTTGACAACTTCACTTATCTTGGAAGTCTGATCAGCCCTAATGGGTTGGTATCGGACGAAATCTCAACACGGATTCGAAAAGCTCGTTTAGCTTTTGCCAACTTACGTCACCTATGCCGAAGGCGAGATATCCGTCTATCAATAAAAGGACGAGTATACTGCGCGGCAGTCCGTTCAGTTTTAATTTACGGCAGCGAAACATGGCCATTAAGAGTAGGAGATACTCGTAAGCTACTAGTATTTGACCACAGATGTCTTAGAAATATTGCTCGCATCTGTTGGGATCAGCAGGTAAATAATAGTGAGGTTAGACGCAGGGTATTAGGGAATGATGGTAAATCAGTTGATGAGGTTGTGGATCTTCATCGACTGAGATGGTTGGGCCACGTGTTACGTATGCCTGAACACGGATTACCACGAAGTGCAATGCTAACCAGTGCTCGGGATGGTTGGAAGAAAGTTAGGGGTGGCCAAACCAAAACGTGGCATCAGTCCTTGAAGTCACTAACTTCTAGTCTGAGCCATGTTGGTTGATGTAGACTACTTGGTTAAGGTTCGCGCGGCTATCATAGCCAATGGTTGGAGACTCAGGATGACAGGGCTCAGAATCGATCACAATGACGTAGGTGTATACACTCTTTGTCTGCCCTTGAACGGTAAGATTAAAATTGCTTCATATCTTTCTTTCTACTAACTAATTCTTTCTTCCTGTACTATATCCTTATTACAATCTTTCTTTTATATATTACCACCTCTGAATTAGTTGCTCTTATAATAATCATAATGAACTGGATGGTTTATCTTCGATAAAATCAATGATAAATTTTAATCTTTTTTTAAAATCACCATTCCAAAAAACAGCCAACTTGTTGAAAAATCTACCCGCAAGAATTATATACGATGACTTCAAATTCCCTGATAGAAGCGGGCTCAATTGTTATGCTTCGAGCCATAGAACTTGAGAAACAATTAAAATTTACTGAAAGTTTGACATGCTATGAAGAAAGTATTGGTTTATTCATCAAAGCTCTTCGTTCTATTCCTGATAATACACGTAATATATATTTGTTTACACTACTAAATTCTTGTTTTTAGAACCAGAATTCAAAGACAGATTCAGACTGAAAGTTTCAGAGTATATAACCCATGCAGAAAAACTTAAGGAAAAACTTAAAAAGGAGTCAGAAAGTCAGTTAAATTAGAAAACTATCTCATCTTATTTTCATATTAGATGGAAATTATCACGAACAAATTGTTATAGAGGAAGGTGCTACTGGTTACAGTTACAAGAAGGTTTTTGGAAGATTTCTTGAAGATGGTACAGTTAGCAAAGTTTGGGTGGAAGATCCGTATATCAGAAATAGTTATCAAGTTAACCAAAAATTTTCATTAATGCAAAACTGTCTTTATTTAGATTGAGAATTTTTCTCACTTTTGCGAAGTCATCGTTCAATCAGTGTCGAAGGTAAAAAATATTTATTTAACCACCGGAGAAGATGCCCAGGTTTGTTAATTTGTCCACCTTTAATCCATTTAATCCCAGTCAAAAATCAGTTTTAGTTATATATATTTTTTCTATCACTATGGAGTATATCTTTTCAAATTCTTATACATTGATTAAAAATAATTTTCAACTCAAAATATAATTGAAATTAATCGATGAAAGGTATGATGAGGCTTATATGGCTTCAGACGTCTCATCAACAACTTTGTGTTATTCTTCCCACACTTGTGATTTTTATGGCCTTGTAAAAATATGTGTCTTATTTGGTTTATCATGTTATCAGGACTTGTCATAGTTTCGCACCGATCTACCTGTATTATATTATAATAGGCTCCTCGTCGGTAATATCTTATTATTAATACTGATTACACTCCGGTCTGACAAGTTAGTGCAATTAAATGGCAAGTACAGATTGATTTAACAAGCATTGAATCTTACACATTTGTAAGAGTTAGGGACTGTAGTAGATAGAGCAGGAATCAAATATTCTACCCAGCAGTGGTTAAATCATTCAAATATGTATACACACTCATCTGTTACTATTGAAAATCTGTAAACGTAACCAACTTGGGAAAAGTAATGTCGTCAATCAACGTCACTTCTCATCTGTACAGCAAAAGAAGATTAACACTATGAAATTACTACCAATGTCCTTCATAAATATTCAGTCAACTTAGTATTTCTCCATTTACTGTCATTTTTTTGATCATATACGTATATTTGCTAAACATATCAGTTGATAGCTAGTTAACATTAGTTTTACTCGCATATTAATCGTTTATAAATAAATGGATAAGAAGTTAGCCTTTTATTTTGATTATTAAAATTACCGTTAACACTATAAGTTGGCATCTATTTGTAGTGTACATGACTTAGTCTGTTCGTTTTCGTATAATAGGCTGTTATAATTTTCTGAAGGATAGCTATACTGTCTGTTTACGTAAATCATGAGTGAAGTGGTTGTCAATCCAAGTGACCTGTTGACCGGAAATGACAATAACTTCACAACTTCATCATTTAGTTAATTTCACAAACTGGGATACAACTTTTTAGTTAATATTAAATTGGTAATCAAGCCAATTAAATTGAAACAACTTTCCAATGTAAATTAGTTAGTGTATTGTAAGTATTTCAATACCTCAAAAATAATTTATCCCACATTACTTCTAAACCGTAGTATTTACCTTTGCTAAAGACTTCAAAATAATTTACGTTCACTGAGACCTTTTTGCCATGAAGTGTCTGTTAGCTATAATCAATCTAGAGCTTGACGCAGATGTGCTCTGACTCGAGTTTCTATACGGAATCAATACGATGAAATGAAATTAACGAGGTGCAGTAATGATAATGGGGAAGACTGAGAATGGATAATATAGTTTGAATAGGTATATATGAAGAAATATCGAAATTCAGAATCTAAGAAAAGATAAACAGTAAATGCAGATGTGCCAATGGAAACGATTCTTAATCATATCATTCAGCGTCTCCAACTACTTGTCGCTGTTATCATGCAAGTTTTAACCACATTGTCTCCACCTACCAATACGGTTCAGTTCAACATTTACCAAGTACATGGACTGTTGCTATATCGTCCACGGCTTTCTTTCAAGCTACTCCTGTTCCCACAACTAATGTCTGGTTGGAATAAACTAAGTATTTCCGTCTTATTTAGTGCGTTGATAATATTGCTCCTTGTATAGAGTCAAACTAGTTTTCAAAGAATAAAAGGTTTGGTGCTGTCATTCAGCGGTACTTTTAATAAGCTACTGATAACGACCAACCATGCAGTTTTCTATAAGAGTGTAATTTATCCCTTTTCTGTATAATTGATTATTATTGGACAAATAAATCCTATTCTATTATTATCATTATTTATTTATTTCATTTATTATTACTATTTTAGCATCCAGATGAACAAATAGAAAAGTTTAAAATGTTAAAGGGTGATCTAGAAAAGCATTCAGTTACTTTTGAGTGGACATTCTCGGATACCTTACATGATCGAGAGATACGGTTAGTTAATGATTAGTTAGATAAAAAGTTGATTGTTGTTTCGTTTTTATAGTCTCGGATTGTAATTGTTCGGCTTCATTTTAAACAGTCATCTCCCAACATTGTGGTCAATTCAAAAAGATTAGTGTATACATATGTCGTGAGGTTGAACATCCTTTTCCAATGTTCAATGTAAGTATGATATCTAGAATTTTTGAACATCTTTCTGTTCATTCAGTGGATTAGCGTTATATGTGACGGCATGCTTTTCACTAAGGAATTCATTTTAATGATATGAAACTATCTAGATGTCTTCTACGAATTCCTCACTGTAGCGCCTCCCAACTTGCCGGATGAATAAAACAAATAAAGTGAACATTGGAGCTTGAAATAAAATCCTCAGTTAAAATCATACCCTTATATGCAACATTCACCTATTAAATGAACGGAAAAATACTCGAAAATATTTGATGCCACACACATTAAATATTAAAAAGAGCTACAATCTCATGGGCAAATATCCTATTACTATGCATGTAATTTATTGGCTTATAGAAAAATCAGAGTTCAGTGATAAGTTTTGGTTTTTTGAGTATTTTCCTCTCTGTTGTGTTTTATAATTAATGCTAATACGAGAAATTATTTAATTGGTGTTGATGTTTACACTGAAACTTGAACCAATTATTTATCTCCTGAAATGTCAACATAATATCTATTTAGTTATTGAGTCTAGGTAGTCATTAAATTGTTCAGCAAGTATAAAGGTTTTAAGTACGTTTGTAATTTCTTGTTGTTGATATTCAAAATAGCAAGTGATCAGGTACTAGGTTCAAGTCTCAGTATAAATAACAACACGAAGTTGGAGATATATCCACCTGAAAAGTCCCAGATAAGACTATATGTGCTCATCTTAGGTTCCACTGCTGACCGCATAAAAAAATATACCAACCTCAAACTATATTTAATTAATCCAATCTAAATTAATCTTGTTAACCATTTTTTTCTAGATTTGATATAATTATTAAACGTGACAGCTTCAATCAATCCACATTCATGCTTACGTTGTCATTATAACTTAGTATTAAACAAACTCCATAAAATTATTCTTTTTATTCATGATCATCTATTTGTGTTTTATTGAAATTATTTTCGTTTTATTTTTTTCTTCCTGTTTTTAAAAATAAAAAAATAGATTTGATAGTGGATGGATTGTTAAAATTGGTCGTGGGTTAGATTATATACGTCGTCCTGAACATAAATTTTGTGGTCTCGGTGTACATGACTATGACTTTCGGACATGTTCTGCAACAACTATTGACATATTTCATTCTTCTATTTTACGTCAAGATACATAAAGAAATATATATGAACTTTCCTTTTTAAAAAAACTAATATAGTATATGATGTTATTATCTAATTACCCTGAAAATAAATCAGTAAGGGGATGATAAAACATCTTGACGACCTCAAACATACAACATTTTGATAACTTTTCATTATCATTAGTCTTTCATCTTTTTTTAAAAAGAAATTATGTTACAGAATCATTTTTTAACTTTAATAAGTTTTTTTTTCTATGTTTTTTTACTCATTTGGTCATTGTATTTATGTGTTAGGTCAAGGAATCATTTAATTTTAAGATTTGAAGCATCCAATGATTTTTTTCTATCAACTAAACACTGGTTATCTTCGTAAGCAACGTAGAGTTTGGCGCATATACCCATTCTTTCATGTTGTCACACTATATTAAAACGGTGAGATGAAATTATTAAGATAAATGCTGGAATATTAGAAATAGTATTAGTATCAGGAGTAGTAGAAAAGTTTGAAGAAAGAGTGAATTTTTGAAGTTTATTTATCTGAATACATAAATATTGGTACAAAGGATCACCAGATACATATATACCACACAAGTCATTTGATCTCTGTATGGGCTGTTATACTGCCTGCGTGCCCAAACACAAGCAGGTGGTTTTCCTAGGGGCCACACCCGGACCCTTCGACCTATAGGTTTGATCCACAAGTCAATGAAGCAACGTCACGTGACGCAGTTTCATGGTAGCCTGTGACCAACAGTTTGTTCATACGCCATTTGTTCCTTCGGGGTACTGGAGCCCGTGTGCACTATTGATTGGGAATCAGGGCTTTCCAACTCTCCTAGATACATAATCCGTGTTCACCAACCCTGTTGAAGCGCCGGACATTCACTTTTCATCCTTCCAGGTCTTTAAACAACACTGCTACCGCTAGAATGCAGTGAGTAGGACTTCCCTGACAGTGGTTGTATGCACGTGACCATGTGAGTTCATTTCGAGTTGGAGAGATGACTCTCCCCACCCTTGGCTGTACCAGGGCAATTTTTGAAGTATCAAAGTATGATATAATATTAAAACCCGAGATCTAAGGTATAAATTTATTGTCATTTTCATCCTGAACTAGGAATCTTGTTACGTCTTTGGTCTGTCTACCTACTTCTGGTGCTGAGGATAACTTCTCTAATCTAAATTAAGACCTTGACGCGATAGGCTGACCGATCTAATCTTGAGGCTAGTATCAGGTGTTCGAAGTGGGTTAGAGAGAAGAAAACTATTCTATCACCTGATTGGCTGACAAGTACGCGAGTGAGAGAAGACAAGTCAACTGGAACACTACTCCATCTATCCCCAATTCCCCGATTTCAGATGAGTGTAAAAAGGTACATGAATAAATAGATGACTAACTCCACCACAATGTACAATAATTAGGAAAATACAATGTGCACTGCTCAGGAGTCCCACAATAGGACGAAACAGCCGTCCAGTGCTTCCAGGTTTTCAATGGTAGGCTAACATCAATCGGTTCATGATCTCAATCAAAAACTTAACAATCTGCAAACTGATAATTACCATGTGTTCACTAGTGACTAGCTTCACGAGAAAATTCTCGGAGTTCTGGTGAGGAGCCGTGACCAGTGGAGCTAATCAATGTCGAGTAGAGACAGATATCTACCTCATTACAATGGAAGATGGTCACGCAATTTCGTGGATTGGTTGATGTTAGACACTATCACCATTGGGTGCCGGCTCAGTGGTCCAGTAGGTTAAGCGCTCGCGCGTGAGACTGAAGACCCTGAGTTCGAATCCCACGAGCAGGATCGTGGATGCGCACTGCTGAGGAGTCCCACTACATGACGAAACGTGCAGTACTTCCAGGTTTTCAATGGTGGTCTAACATCAATCGGTTCATAATCTCAATCACAAACTTAAGAATCTTCACTAACTTTAAACTGATGAATGCATTTATTATCAGAAGGGGTTTGTGGAGATTTTAGAAATTTTCACAGATTGAAATCATGAGTCAGTTGAAGCTAGACCACCATTGAAAACCTGGAAGCACTGGACGGCCGTTTCGTCTCAGTATGGGACTCCTCAGCAGTGCGCATCCACGATCCTGCACCACGCTGGGCTCGAACCCAGGACCTACTGGCTTCGCGTGCGAGCACTTAACCATTAGACCACTGAGCCGGCATCTAACGGTGTTAATATCTAACTTCAACCAATCCACGAAGTTGCGCCACCATATACCATTGTCTTCAGTGAGCTGATATCTCACAACAGACCAGGTTTTCAATGGTGGTCTAGCCTCAACTGACTCATGATTTCAATCTGTAAATACATTTATGTTCAAAACTGGGTGTTAGTGTAGAAAATAGGGTGCAAAATATTATGTTTAAATTACAATAGCTTTGGAACAAAAGGGGTTATGGCAGTGAATCACACATCAAACGAAAACTTATGATTTGTAGAATAAATAAAGGACAAAAATAAATGTTAATGTTTTACAAGCTTCAAGTTAACTGGAATAACGTCCCGAAAAATAGCTTTCCTGGTTTGTCAAGAGTTCTTGTTTCTCTATTCACATTAAATCTGTAGTTTGCAATAAAACATTGGTCAGTAGTAAAAACTTGGTGTAATCATCCTACAATTCACGTTTATATAATTAAATAAATAGTTTTAGTAAGTAAAGAAATGATTTCAGCATTTCGTTAAGTTTTCAGTGAAACTTCCTTTAAATTGTCTTACAGTTAATCAGAGAATAAAGGTTTTTCGAACCTTAGATTACTAATTACCTAATTGTTATATCTATCGCTATATGCACGTGATTGTGTTTTCACTTATCCGATCGATTAATCGATGAATGTGTGAATAGATCGGATTTTAGTGACACAATTAATACTGGGATAAAATACTGTAGAAATCATTTTAAGGAACTTTATGAACCATGTGTCTTTCAGATAGTTTATTCGAGGTCAGGTTTGTTAGTTAACTAGTAAGTGGAATATAATCGTCTTGGACTGATCTCAGTTGTGGTACCTCTGAGAATAGGATAGCGATAAACAGCTGTTATTCTCGAGTATACGACTTCTCAACAGAGCGCTCACGACCCCTCCAGGACCTTCAGATCTTGAACCAGGAACTAAACCGTTAGACTTTAATTACTCTAGTTGTAAATTATACAAATAGGTGAATTACCCAAGTAATTGGATCACTCGGTTGAACGTCTTATAGTACACATTCCCATCTTAATGTGATTTTATTATTATATAAATCATTAAAACCTATCTAGCTGCGTAGTGAGGGAGAACACAGGTGAGGACAATCGAATTATATTTATCACAACATTACAGAGTTACTTGGTAAAATAGAAAAACCATACTATAATACCCAATTTACAAAATGTTCAATAATTGTCTCGGACTTCATTGTTCTTGCATTTCTATACTAATTGCTTTCTATTCCTGTTCTTCCTTTCTTGATCTTCCCAATCTTCTGTTGCCAGACATTACATTCCTGTCAATATAAGTAGCACGCACCACAACTGTACATGTGACTGAACATCACTTTCATTATACCTAACTAAAATCTTATAATATAATAAACCATTGTCAGGAGGAATTAGATTTAAATTACTTTAACCTAACCAATCAAATATCATGATCAGCATTACATTTCAAAACATGTATAAATTCTAACGTATACTTTTACAAAACAGTTAATGACTTTAAAGTACATAGATAGAATTTGTGTATCAATGTTTACTATTACTTATATCATAATCTCTTTGTATCTTTTTTTTGTTTCATTTAAGATTTTATGAAAATGAAAAACACAAGATCATAAAAATCAATATGTTTTTTGGAAACAATACAATTAATACGATGAGTATACAAATGTGTGGAGAAGATTTGTAGCTCAGGTGGATGATTTGAGTGGAGTTTTGTTCTCTGAGGTGGATGGTTTTGTCGTGGATCTTTCATCGTTCTTCTGAACAACATCATCAACACAAACTTCAGAGAGAAGTGAATTGTTCGAATTTCTCCATATGTGTTTCACAGCTTATTCTGTGCACCTCGATGTTGAATGATCCTTGTTGACCTTAAGTTTTATCTTTGTTTACTTCTTTGTTTTGGTTGTGTCTCCCATTGGTTTGATTTTTGTTCCTATATTTATGGATGATTTTCCTGATTGGTTGATAAATTGGATTGATTTCAATATGTTTGTTGATTGCTGATTGACCTGAGTGCCAGGCTTCTAAAAATTCTCTGGTGTTTTCAGAGTTTCCTCTGTCTAAGATTTTTTCATTTTTCCAATCGAATGAGTGTCCGTAGTTATCCACATGTATTGATATAAGTGAAGAGATATCATGGCGTTTGACTGCTAATTGATGTTCATGTAGATGTGTACTTAAATATAGAATATAATTGTATGAACGAAGAATATTCTTTTCAATGAATTTCTCATCAGGTTCTACAATTATAAATCCAAATTACTTACTTACTTACATACTTAAGCCTGTTACTCCCAATGGACCATAGGCCGCTGACCAGCATTCTCCGACCCACTCTGTCCTGGGCCTTCTTTTCTAGTTCCATCCAATTCTTGTTCATTTTTATCATGTCTATCTCTATTTCTCGGCGTAATGTGTTCTTTGGTCTTCCTCTTTTCCTTTGGCCTTGAGGATTCCATGTGAGGGCTTGTCTTGTGACACAGTTGGGTGCTTTCCTCAATGTGTTTCCTATCCACTTCCAGCGCTTCTTCCTGATTTCTTCCTCCGTAGGGATCTGGTTTGTTCTCTCCCACAGTACGTTGTTGCTAATAGTGTCCGGTCAACGGATCTGAAGTATTTTGCGTAGACAATTGTTAATAAACACCTGTATTTTCTGGATGATGGCTTTCGTAGTTCTCCAGGTTTCTGCCCCATATAGTAGAACTGTCTTGACATTTGTATTGAAAATCCTGACGTTGACGTCTTCATGATCCAGTCGATCACCAGGAGAAAGTGAAAGGGTGAGAGTAAGCAACCTTGCCTAACACCG